AACCAGTTTGTTAAGGATATGGAAGTGAGAACCAAGAGTTATCACTGTTTGGATTTATTGCCCAAAAAGTGCTGCATATTTCATTCCCTCTGTTACCGACATATCACAGGTTTAACTTGACCCTGTTGGAGTGTAACTCTTTCCTACATTCTGATACTTTACTTATTTCAATAGTCCCTCTAGTTTCTGAATAAGAGACATTTGAATGTCAAAAATCTGCCCGTTTCCCTCCGTTACCACTTGACCAGACCCTTGTATACAAAGTAAGGCACAGAAAATTACTCAAGCAAGAGTAAAAAGATATTTATAATTTGAAGTTTATTTAATTTGAAAGACAAAACACTGAATGCACAAAATTTACTAGAATTTACAAAGATTAGAGCTCTACATTTAGGCAAAATCATATCTGAAGGAGCAGCGCTTTTGTCACTTTAGACTTACTCACAGTGGGAAGATGAACCAAAACGTTTACTCAAGTAAGAGTACTGTTACGCTGTACAATATATTACTCAAATAAGAGTCAAAGTTTGGGATAGTCTGGAGAACTTCCTTCACTGCGCCCTCTGCTGGCTTTCGCGTCACTTCTTTTGCAAACATTGACTTTGGTTGGAGTCCTGACCGGTGTCTCTGCTTTTAGACTGAAGGACGAGTTTTACCGGCCCGATCAGTGCGGCTCAAATCCAAACCATACCCTGTAGATGACGATGATGAAGAAGAGGAGGAAGAGGAGGAGCAGAGACCAGGGCATATTGCTGCGTGTCACCAAAGAAGAGCACCAATCAGAGCCAGAGACCTCAACACACAGGTGATGAAACCAGGACACACAAACCTGACACATACAGTGTGTATGAGCCAGTACATTATGACCACAGACAGGGGAGCTACACATTCTATTAACAGTAAGGCAATATTTAACTCTCAAATTTGACCAAAAACCTTTTAAAGAAGGGCTATTATGCAAAAATCTACCTTCAAAACATACCTCAAGAGGTTTGAGAGTCATCCATGCATGTTTGAGACGTCTAGTGCAGAGGTGGGACCTGCAAGTTGTGACTTGGACTTGAGTTAGACTTGAGTCACTATTTTATCAAGTCAAGTCTCAAATACTAAAAAATATATTAAGACTGGACTCGGACTCGAGGCCTCTGACTTGAGAAGCACTTTTACAGTGAATTGTAAAAGTGAATTCTTTCTCTTCTGACCGTAATGATTCACTCTAAGATCTTGTCAAAACATAAAAAAAAAAAAATAACTAAATTATTTTCTACAACTCTTATATCCTCTATAAATACTCATATATAAATATACCATGACTTTTTAAGTACAATTGATCTTAAAATTCATATAAATTGCTAAAATGTAAGCTATATTTGGTACTTTGGTTTAACTTGAAATGACTTGAAGCTCAAAGCAGACGACTTGGACTTGACCTGGACTTATGGGCCAGTGACTCGAGACTTGACTTGAACTTGAGGTCAAAGACTTGAAACTTACTTGAGACTTACAGAACAACTTGGTCCCACCTGATCTAGTGAGCTCTCCTGGGCTCTATTCTAAACCTCCTTACGCTTAACTGTAAGGTTCAGTACAAGTCTCCGCCCACAAGTCTCTGTCCCCCATGGTCCCACGCGACAATTATCCAAAAATACACAAAAAACATGATACAAAACAATACTGCACATCGCTTCATGTTTGTCAAGTTGTGTGGTTTTATTAGAAGGATACACGTTGATTGTGCTCTGAAGGGGGAGTGACTCAGAGCATCCAAAATTCAAGTGAAAATGATACATGTTAATACGTTGTTTTCGATGAATATAACATTTTTAAAACAATACAAGGTAACACGGTGACGTGCTACAGTTAATACCCCAGAGAAGTATCTTTAACTTGTGTTATTATCAGCAAAAACATTTTTATCTGAAAGAACATTCACACACACTTTTCAACAGAAACTGAGGACTCCAGACAGACGTCCAACATGGCGGCGAGACACAGCGGCTCAAAACGCCATCAACCACATCTTTTACAGCGACGAACACTCACGAAGAGAACAAATGGAACATTTCAGACGCTACATGGAGTTTCTAGGAACGAGTCCTCCACCCAGAACTGTTCCCACGTGCTCTGACCAGACGGGGGCGCTCTGCTGGCTGCGGGCTGGACTCTGCTGGCTGCGGGCTGGACTCTGCTGGCTGCGGGCTGGACTCTGCTGGCTGCGGGCTGGACTCTGGTGGCTCGGGGCTGGACTCTGGTGGCTCGGGGCTGGACTCTGGTGGCTCGGGGCTGGACTCTGGTGGCTCGGGGCTGGACTCTGGTCGTGGAGGTTTTGTGTTTTTGCTTTAACCGTTTTGCTTTTTTTCATTTTTAAATTCACTTCTGTGCTGCCATTTTGACTGTGATGGGCTGAAAAAGAAGACATTTTATCAGCATTTAAATGTGCTGCTGAATTTTTATAAACTTTGTATACTTTTATGATTAAAGAAACACTATGTAGCATTTCTGGTAGAAGTTCTGTCTCCATGGAGATAATATTGCTTTACCTGGAATGTTCCACAGTATGCCATGTAGATTCAAACTTTTAACCCTTCCAGACCTAAGGGCATTTTTGGTACATTTGTCCTCGCCTGGATTTTTTTCCTAATTTTGCTATTAAAACTCCCCCTTTTATCCCCTAATGAAGTGCTATACATCCTTTTTTTCAGTACAACCTGTTCTTTCACAATCTGAGTGCTGTAGTTGTGTCATATGGCTGTAATAAAAGCTATAGCACTAGAAATACAAAGGAAAAAAAAAAAACGGAAAATAATATTCACACTTCTTTATTCAAAACACACAGCAAACATGTATAAACAACTTTTTAGACATAATAAATACTTAGTTTAGGGTCTTAGCTACAAAAGTGCAAAATATGAAGTTTGTAGGTATTCTAAAAATGTCATTTTTGCCCTCAAAACAAAAAAAAGTGCACTCGTCCAAGTCCTTCACTATTGCCAATCATGGAAGCAGTTCCTATCAGGCACCAGGCATAGTGCCACATCACAGGCCTTGCATTTCCATGCAGTACACTGCCTCTTCCCCTATTTTTTTGTAAAGTCTAAGGGGATGTCTATGTCTATGTCTGTTGCCATGGAGATGGAAAAGTTTAATGCCATATTGTGGAACATTCCAAGCAAATAAGAAACTCTCCATGGAAATAGTGATGGATCCTGCACCAGAAAAGTTTCATAGTTCAGTTTAATATTTCTAGAACATTTAACTGAATCTGTTTTTGTTCCACTAGAGTTCCAGTCGTGTCTTTTTTCTCCACACTCTGTTTTTACAAGAAGTTTACCAGTGTCCTCCTCTGTCTCTTTAGACTGTGACATTTTCAACAATGATGCATAAAAAATACACTGATGTGTCATAAAGATGTGTCACACTGCACTGCACCCAGTACTGTACCTGACTATAATCCATGTATCATTCATTCATTCGTTTTTCAATATAAAACCAAAAATAAGAAAATGAAAAAAAAAAAACTATTTTCTTCATTATTTGTCTCTAAAATCAAAATGAAAAAACAGATAATGATTCATTTTTTTCAGTTTTCGATTTTGTGTGTTCATGAAAAATGGAAAAAAAAATGGATAATGGACGAACTGAACCAGGACTGAACCAGGACTAAACCAGGACTAAACCAGGACTGAACCAGGACTAAAACAGGTCTAAACCTGGACTAAAACAGGACTGAACCAGGACAAAAACAGGACTGAACCAGGACAAAAACAGGACTGAACCAGGACAAAAACAGGACTAAACCAGGACAAAAACAGGACTAAAACAGGTCTAAACCAGGACTGAACCAGGACTGAACCAGGACTGAACCAGGACTGAACCAGGACTGAACCAGGCATGTCGGAACGGGCCCGGTGGTGTGCCCGCGTAGACTGGGAATGGGACCAGACCAGGACTGAGGTCAGTTTCGTCCTGGTTTATTCTTGTTTTACTCCTGGTTCAGTCCTGGTTCAGTCCGGCAGCGCAGTTTAAGTCACGGAAACGGGAAATGGGCATTACCCGTTTTTTTCCCCCAGTATTAATTTAAACACAAAATTGAAAACTAAAAAAAACATCTCTTAACAATAAAACAAAAAACAAACAAAAAACAGCTTCTTTTTTCACTAATTAAATCCAGACCTCTTTTGGAATTACCTCAATTAATAACAATCTGATTATATTTTCTTCAGTTTAGTTTAGTCAAAACATTTAGTGTTGTGATCATAAGGATTTATATGGAGTAAGTTAGAGTTTTAAGAGTCAGTGGTAAAATTATCTCCTGTTTTACATACAAATGCAACGTATTAGTATTTTCTGGTGTACATAATTAAAAAAAACAACTAACTCCTGTGAAATAGAGTTCTTGAAAGTGAAACATGTCCTATGCATTGATTAGTCGAACAAGAATCTGTTTAGTTGACAACAGAACACTTCTTTACACACTCTTCTCTAACACTGTATGTGAGTCTGGTCACTGCTGAATCTCCCAGAGTGCAGACGGGTGTGATGGACAGGTACTGACAGCACTAAACTCTGTTCATCTGAGAAATGTTTCACATATGTCACTGAAATGAACAAATCTGATTGGACGGCCGTGCTTGAGCCTGGCTCGCGGTGCGGTGCAGGACATGAGGACCAGACTGACATCACTCTGTGTAAAACAGGGCTCTCCAAATCTTTTCTCCGGTGAGCTACAAGTACAAAACAAAAATACCAGAGCTACTAGAAATTGAGTAAATATAAGAGCCATGACAAGCCCTACATAAGGTACAGTTTGATGTCTATAAAAGATAAACCATTATCCATTTATTAGTGTACAAATTTAGGAATCAAAACATGTAATGTAATGGGCATTTACTGTATTTTCCAGGTTATTAGTCGCTCTGGATTATAAGACGCACTGTCATTAAATGGTCTATTTTTCGAACTTTTTTCACAAATAATCTGCACTGGACTTTAAATGAAACCCAACAGTGTGATGGGTGAGTGGTTTTGTTTGTTCGTTCGTTCACGGTGACTCTGGGCTTTGTTCAGTTGTGGCGTGTAGGGAGGGTGCTGTCTGGGACCAACGGATTGTCGGTGTGTTCACAGTGACTCAGTTGTTCACTTGTGTCTAGAAGTGGCACATTGCACTCGCTTTTTCAGTTCGTTCCTCCGTTCCTCGTCGGTGTGGAGTGATGAGTGTGTCTGTGGGTGTGTTTCACTGTGTGGTCGCTGTCTGCTCCGTGTGTGTTTGTGTGTTCTGTGGGTGGTGCAGCTTTGTAGTTTACTGAAGTCGTGCTGGGACACCCGAGTGGATTCGTGTATAGGGCGCTCTGGATTGTGGGGCGCGGTCATTTTTTGATGGGGTTGGAAGCTTAAGAGCACGTCTAATAGCCTGGAAAATACAGTAATTAATCAAATTTTACTTATTCAGCACAATACGTGTAATTCCGAGCTACTTGGAAAGGAGAGGAGAGCTACTGGAAACTCCCGAGTGAAAGGTTGGAGAGTCCTGGTGTCAAACATACAGAGAGGTTCTGAATATACCAGCCTACAGCCTTTGTGTTACTGCAATCCTTCAGAAATGTGTGAAAGGAGCCCACTGTTTTGTTGGTTGAGGTTTAAGTGTTACAAAAAACATGAGTAAAATGAACCACACAAGTGCAATAATATCACTTTATAGCCATGATTGGAAGGTTACTCTGCTTTTGAAGCTAAACACCAGTTTTCTTAGACAACATAATAGAATCTGTCGATACTCAGTGTTCATTTTTGCTGCATTAAAAGGATTTACTGAAGAGAAGATACAATGGACAACTTGTATTTTATGTATTCAGTTAAGTAGTAGTTACCTCACTGGATATTAAAGGAATCGTGAGTTCATCTTTGTGCCGCCGGCTTGTGAAGGTAACGGTGACAAGTACCTGACGGCTCTATAAAACTGTAGACTCTTAAATGTCTGAAACCATCACCACTTATGATCACACCAAGGACACTTCACATAAACTAACATAAATAAGACGTGTGTGACTTTCATTCAGGACTGACCTCTTATTGTCTACGATGCTCTCATCTTTTTTTTTATGAATTAGACTCTTTTTTTTTTTAGCTTAAAGGGCTTAAAAGATCACTTTTCTGATCTGTGCTGTAATGTTTCCTCATCAAAAATACCTGGAGTTATGTTTTGTTTCATTCACACTAAGGATGGGCATTTAATTAAATTTTCTTAATCAATCGTCAAGAGAATTAACGATCGATTATCGATTAATCATTAACGCTTTTCTATTAAAATGATCATCATTATTATTACTATCTGCACTACTAATCTGCAGAAATAAATTCAACTTTATGACAAATAAACCGTAACGACTCTAGAGCCACATCAATCCGTTTGACATTAGAATGTGTTTAATGCAGATTTGTGCAAGTCTCACAGAAACAAAACTTAAAACCACATGGCTCATTTGTATAAACTAAGCGAAGAAAAAAACAGCTCTTGTGTCGCTGATGTGGTTCAACTTCTGTTGGATTAAAAGACATGACTCAGGTGAATACAGGTTAGTGTGACCAGATTTGTGTTTGTCAAAACCAGGACAGCGTACGGGGGGAGGGGGGCGGGGCCTCGTCATCGACATTGAGCGACTCTCACCTGGTAAAACTTTTTCATGTTTTTCGGTGTCCTGGTGCTTTGAGGTCCCTGACACCTACACTGGACACTGGAACATATGTGCTGCTTTGTACACTGTGCCCCCACTCTCACATGTCTCGACTGGGACAGAAAGCGGGGAATTTCTTGTACAACTCATCTTTACATGTACATTTGCGTTTCGGCCTGTTGCAGACTGAGCGACTGTTTGTGTCTGTCTGCTCCTTCTGAGTCACAGACACTACGAGAGACACTCAGTTTAATGGCTCAATGAAAGGAAATGAAAACACAAACATTTCCATCACTTTATTTTTAAAAAAAACGGCCAGGACAGGACTTTGAAAACGGACATGTCTGGGGGAAAAAACGGACGTTTGGTCACCTTACGCTACGCACAGCAACCTACATTCAGTTTGTCGATTAAAAATTAACGTAATCGACGAAATTCTTAATGATCAATTATCGATTAATCGACTAATCATGCCCATCCCTAATTCATACACATGCGTTTAAAACACAAACCCTGCACATTTAGAGTTCTTCTCAAACTGGTAATACGTGAAGTGCTCCACTGTGTTTTTAAACTCCATACACTGTCACTAGGGCCGTGTCTCATTTCTCTTTCTTCGCTTCCTTCTTTTTGATTCCTCTCCTTGATTCTGTAGGAAATGGGTAAGGAAAGTCCTGCCCACAAGGAGGAGAGAGGAGAGAGGAGAAGGGAGGTCTTTCCTCAAGTGCCGTTTCTGACCAAAATGACCCTGTTTAATTGTGTAACATGGCACATCTGATTGACAGCTGAAAATGAAGGATCGAGGAGAGGAATCAAGGAAAGAGAACGGAGATGCTGCCTAAAATCATTTAGATAATATCAGATCTGGAACTGTTCATCTCTATTGAACTAAAGGTAAAAGGAGCTGTTCACTTTCACCATTCACCAAGAACGAACAGAGCATTTTGAGCTTTGGAGATGCAGACAGACTAATAATAAACTGAAATGAATGAAACAAAACACAAGTCCAGGTGTGTTTTTGAGGAGGTAACAACATTAGAACATGGTGAAAAGTTCACAAGAGTCAGTTCTGTGTCATATTGGACCTTTAATGTGAATTCTAAATGCAGAGATGAACTTACCTTGCTGCAGTAAGGACATTCTCCAAAAATAACGTTGAAGCTCTGACGTGTGGAGGGCAGCGCGCGCAGCCACTGAAAACACAAAGCAAAGATCAAGACACGAGAGACACTTGAACACATCTGTGCATCTGACGCCTTTTTTCTCTTTATATAATGTTAGCTTTGAATTTAAGATGGAGAAATTGCGATGCTGAACTCACATTTCTTGTAATTTCATTTGAAAGTCAAGTATGAAGAAGAAGAGAATGAAACAGTATTTGCAACATAATAAATACATCAACATTTCTGTGACACTGTGTTAAAGATGAACTGTGTAACTTTTTTGGTTTGATGTCTGCCACCTGCTTGTCAATTATTTTACCTGGAATGTTCCACAGCGCGGCATTAAACAGACTGACCTTGATTGCGTTTATACAATTGCAGATGGTTTTATTGCGTAAGGATACATGCATTTTTACTGTGAGCGGGGTCGCCACTCCACTGATCTGACCTGTAACTTGGTCTAGTGTCACCAGCTCCTTAAGCAACAACATCTCCATGGAGACAAGCAATTGGCAGAAAAGTTAGAGTGTACCTTTTAAATCCAGATTATGGGAGATAATTTGTTCCATTAGATTTTTAATTTTAAATGCTGTTGAATTTCTCACTTTTTTACTTTTAACTTAAAAAAAATAAATAAATAACTGAAAAAAGATGTTTGAATTATTGTTATTCTGAATTTTAGTTGCTGTTTCCTATTGGTCGTTCTCATCTGTGGGCGGAGTTTACACTTAACAAATCAAATAGACGAGGTTTTGATGAGGCCGACTCCGACCAATCAGATCGCTTCATTGCACCATTTCCTGTTTGTTACAAAATTAGTTCAGATCACCGTTTCTACCTTAGCATCTCAGATCTTTGCTGCAGTTTTTTTCACTGCAAATTTTACTCTCTAAATTTTGACTTTTGAATTTGAGGGCTTGAAAATATTTGTGCTGAATATTTAAAAGGTTTCTTTTTTTAATTGAATCTTAAACACTTTGAAAATGTAAACTCCAAATTTCATCAACTGCCAATCAAAATAAAATAATTGAAACTTGTTTTTTCAGAGTTAAAAAATTCAAAGTGAGAAATTCAACAGGATTTAAAATTCAAAATCTAATGAAACAAATGATCTTCCAAACCAGATGTTTTGAGTGTATGTTTGAGCTGTAAAATGAGTGAATGTTGGATTTGCACTTTTGTACAATTAGAATAAAATGATTTGAAAGTTTAAATGTTTTCTTCTGTTAGACATATTTTAGGGTTTCTAAATCATAAAACAATGTACTGTCCTGTTAACCTGTAGACTAAAGGAAAAGGAAACATTAAGTAAATTAAGTGTAGGAGTGTGCAAAAATATTGAAATATCAATATATTGTATCGCTGAATGTGATGATACAGTATCAATATCGTGGGCTGCTGTATCGATATATCGCCAAGAGTACTTTTAAAAAATATTTTACTAAATTATTTTGTTACAGTGCTACAGTTTTGTTGCTTGTTTAGACGAAGGAAACTTTTATGCCACACATGTGACATTTTCAGTGTTCTGATGATTAAAATGTTTGTGTTTCATATGAACTTTGCACAAAAAGTGGTTTAACAAAGACTTTAGTATCACAGTCACGATTTAGCCTTTATTTTTATTGAACTGTATCGAATTGATTTTAAATATATCGTATTGAATCGAAAGCTCACTGTATCAAGATATGTATCGTATCGACAACTTCTTAATAATACCCAGCCCTAATTAAGTGTATAATTATTGGTCTATAACAAGCATGCATCATTATTTTTCATTTGTTCATTTTAACCTATAATGAAGATGAATCAAACATTCACTTATGAATAAAAATATAAAAGAGATAATGATTAAAGCATTAGAACATGGTTAGGGAGGACCCCTGTGAGGGTAGTTACTCGTTTTTAATAACAGTAGCAGTAGCTGTAGTAGTAGCAGTTGTAGTAAAATATTGAAAAGTACCTGGTAGAGACAGTCCTGGTGGAAGGGCTGACCGCAGCGAGGGTCGTTACAGACCTGATCCGGGATCCCAGAGTCCAGACGGAACGAGTAACAGATGCCACACTCCACACTCAGATCCTGGGACACGGGGCGTAATAAACAAGAAAATATCACCAAAACACATTTCAACAACAGAAAACACACACTCCACACTCAGATCCTGGGACACACGGCGTAATAAACAAGAAAATATCACCAAAACACATTTCAACCAGAGGAAATACACACTCCACCCTCATAACCTGGGACATGGGGAGTAATATAAAAGGAAATATCACCAAAACACATTTAAACAACAGGAAACACACACTCCACATTCAGATCGTGGGACATGGGCCGTAATAAACAAAGACATAGAAAGAAAACAGATTTAAACAAGAGGAAAGACACAGTACACTCTGAAGAGTCTAAACACAAACAGGTAATATCCCACAGTCATGTATTACAAAGTTGAGGAAACAGAATGAAGCCTTGTGCTAAGTTACATTTGTTAAACATTTTTAAGTAAACTGAACCTTTTAAACTCAATATGACACAGAGACAATACTGTACATCAAGTTTATGACAGATTGTTATCTAACCAAGAAAATAAAACCTCCTGTTCCTCCTGTACCACTGTCACTTCACTCTACTGCGCATGTCTCCTCGCTGTGAATAATAAAATCTGCAGCCGAAAATGGTAATCCAGCAGCAGAAGGAAAGTTTGGAGTGAGCAAGTGGGATGGGTGTGCCATGTAACTTTCCTGGAAGTCCCTGGATGAATCGACAAAGCCTGAACTTCAATGACACCGAAACCATCCTGTCAGGATTCAGAAAGGCTGAAATAATTCTAACAGGAACTGATGCTGAGTCTGACGACAGCGACACAGAAGAGGAAGCAGCGCTACAGCGCCTCGTTTACATCGAGGCACCGAGGACGACGAATTCAGTGGATTTAGTGATTTGGAGAGAGACTGTGAATTTGGTAAACTTATGTTCTGTTGTTTATTCTATAATTATCAGAAGAGCTGTTAATATGTTGCATTAACATATTAAGTCCTGTTCAGCCTGTTGTTCTCTGTTCTGTTGTTATTACTAGAACTTGCCTTTCAAGATGAAATGCTGGTTCCTGGTCTTTGATTTTATAAAATACATTTCCCCAAAAAGTGTGACTTATAATCCGATGTGACTTACATATGTTTTTTTCTTCATGGCGCAATTTTTGGCTGGTGCGACTTATACTCTGGAGCGACTTATAGTCCGGCAAATAAGATAATATATGGTAAAAATATCGTACCGAAAGATTTGGATATCGTTACATCCCTAAATATCAGTATTGATAATTCAGTCAATGTTTTATTATTATTTATATATATAATGCGTTTAATAACCTAAAAATATGGCCGTATATTTAAAACAATCATGTAACAAATCATTTAATGTCACTGAGAAATACATTTAGTCATTTTTTACAAAAAGGCAAATGTGTTAACTAGGGATGGGCATGGTTAGTTGATTAATTGATAATTGATCATTAAGAATTTCATCGAATACGTTAATTTTAATCGACAAACCGAATGTAGGTTGCTGTGTGTAGCCTGACCAAACAGGTGTGTACATGTGTCTCTGCATCAGAAGGAGCGAGACACAAACAGTGGGTCAGTCTGCAACGTACTGAAGCACAAATGTGTATTTAACGATGATTTGTACAAGAAATTCCACGCTTTCCGTTGCGTTCGGGACAAGTGTGAGTCCATGTGCACAGTGTATAAAGCAGCACATGTTTCTGTGTCCAGTGGGAAAAAGTTTCGCCATGTGAGAGTCGCACAATGTCGATGACAAGTCCCCACCTCCCTCCCCCCGTACGGTGTCCTGGTTTTGACAAACAAAAATCTGGTCACACTAACCTGTATTCACCTGAGTCATGTCTTTTAATCCGACAGAAGTTGAACCACATCAGCGACATAAGAGCTGTAGTTTTATCTTCGCTTAGTTTATGTAAATCAGAGATGCGTTTTTAAGTTTCGTTTCTGTGAGAGTTGAACAAAACTGAATTAAACACATTATAATGTCAAACAGCAGATGTGGCTCTAGAGTGGTTATGGTTTATATGTCGTAAAATTGAATTTATTTCTGCAGATATATATAATAATAATGATGATCATTTTAATAAAAAAACATTAATTATTAATCGATAATCGATCGTTAATTCTTCCGACAATCGATTAAGAAAATTTCATCGAATGCCCATCCCTAGTGTTAACATTATTTTTACTTATCGGTCCTTGCAGTGGATTTGAAAATATTAATACGAATTACCAGCTACAGTAATTAGACAAATACTGGACATCAGAAAAAAAAAAAAAATATATGATATTGGACCTTCCCTAAATAAAAACACCACGATGAGGGAGTAGAATATTCAGAAAAAGCTTGCAGTCATTTTTCTCAGGCAAAGACATTCTTAACCAACTGGTAATTAATCTCCGTTTATTTTGCTTTTCCTTTTTTTTTCTATTCCTCGTCTCTACCTGCTCTGTTTAACACGCAGCCCCTGTTCCCTCAGACGCATGACGCAGAAAAAAAAGTCGAGAAAAAAAAGCCCCCCCACATCTGGTGAGTGTAACTTTTCCCGCTGCTGTGAATCTTAATGAAGTGAAGCATGAATCATTTGAGCTTTGGAGAAATAAACAGGCGACCTCTGACCCCGCGGGGGGACGGGGGGAGGGGGCGGAGGGGACGAGTGTTTGTGTGATTAAAGGGGAGAGATGGAGCCGCGCGTTCGGAAATCTTTGTTATTTAAATCATCTGTAAACAGGAAACCAATTAAAGGGACTTGGAGCTGCCTCAACAATACACTCAAACACTGTACACTGTAAAAAAAAAAAACTCAAAAAAAAAACTGCTGTCTGCTCCAGTTTGAATTAATTATGTTTTTTTTCCTCATTATTCAATCACACTTTTCAATTTGTTTTGTTTTGTCTTAATGAAACAAGCTGCATTCAGTATTTATTTCCTGAAAATAAATGAGACTTTTAATCAGTGTAACTAAAAAAACTTCACATTTCTTCCTCTTAAGTCTTGTGTTAAGTCTCTTCTCTTTTAATGTTAATTTTGTGATGATTATTTATGTGTTGATTTGTTTGTATTGTGATTTTAATACAGTGTATTTCTTATTCTGCAAAGTACTTTGAACAGACTGTGCTGTACAGATAAACTTGTCTTGCGTCTGCTCCAAAACACATTTTTACTGACAGAGGATTGGCTGTAACTTCCAATTAATGGTTTTCTGTGTGTAACTGTGTATTGTATTCTCCAGCAGCTTCATAAATCTGCCCCATCACCAAATCTTCAACCAACAAGGTCCACAAAGGATAAACATTCTAACATGAAGAATTTATCCACAACTATCAAAGGAAGAAAGACGAAAACTTAAATAAGAACAACAACCACGCATTAGTGACACATTGAACTAAACTAACCCTATGCTCATGAATAACGCAAGTAATAAGTAATTCATTAATAAGTAACTTGTTCACTCTGATTCTAAAATTTTAAATCAATTTCATGATCTTGATATAAGCATAGACAGAGAGATTTGTGCAGTTCAAATGTTAGAGATGTTCAGAATGTCCAGCATTCAAACTGCACAAATCTCTCTATGTTAATATCTACAACATGAATTACATTTTTATTTTTAATTCAAAATTCTTGAATTGCATATTACTTACATTACTTACGTTAGTTTTGTTCAGTGTGTCACTAATGTGTGATTATTGTTCTCCTTTAAGTTTTCATCTTTCTTCTCTTGATAGTTGTGAATAAATTCTTCATGTTAGAATGTTTTTCCTTTGTGGAGTTTGTTGGTTGAATATTTGGTGATGGGGCAGATTTATGAACCTGCTGGAGAATACAAAACACATTTACACACACGTTTACACACACATTTACACACACAATTTGACACAAAAAACCATTAACCGGAAGTTCCGCAAACCTTACCAGGCAGGACTTCAGGCCGTTGTGAAAAAGGTCTATTGACTTTTAGAAAGAACCAGATTAAAATGTGATGAAGTGCTTAGCCCCAGTTAAATTTTCTTCATGAGTCTTTATGTAGTTTGACAGTGGTTGGAGGTAGATGGTGCAGACTGGCAGCCTCAATATTATCAGTCTACCCCAGGGCAGCTGCGGCTACAGATGAACACTTGGCAACAAGGAATGAATGAATAATGTGACGTTAAAGCATCTATATTACACAGAATACACTCTTTTGAGATTTAAACTATGTTCACTCCTTTTTCGGACACAAGGAAAATTCGGCATAACATTTATTTTTGCCTGTTTTTATAGAATAGAAATATTTACTTTTTGTGTTTATATCTATGCATTTAAGTCTTTTTTTATTCATGTTCTATCACAAAGTGTTTTCAGATTCAAATTCAGAAAACCTTATTGGTCCCTTTATTGGTCATTCATTTGAACATTTTTCTGTTTGAGAGAAGAACTCAGCCTAAATGTGCAGAGTTTGTGTGTTGAATGTGTGAATGAAACAAAACACAAGTCCAGGGGCCTCATTTATAAATCTTGCTTACGCAAAAATCCATGCGTGCGCGCTTCCTACGCCAACCGCGGTATTTATAAAACTCGCCTAAGGCGTGGCTCTTTGCTTAACTCTACGCCAACTCGGGACCTCCTGTAAGTTCTTCGCAAAGTCTGGAGACACGGGGGAAAAGCGACACTCGTGGAGAGAGGCAGAAGTGAAAAGAGTTTGAGGAAGAGTTTGATCAGAAAATCCACGTATATAGAAGAATTACCTTCTGATTTGCGCATTTAAGTGTTTGGTTCGCCAAAATACGGAGAAGGGCTGTTTTTTCCACTCATTATTCTCCACAATATTATACATTTGACACTCGTGCACGAGCGCGGCCACGTTCCCGGACTCGGTGTAGCGCAGAGTCCCACAGTCCACACCGCGACCATAGACTTCTATAGAACACAGACTGTGACCAACACAGAGGACAAAATAATGACCCGACCTGAGAGAAAACTCTTCCCTTGGACGCAGCAGGAGCCAGACTTTGATTTAATGAACGCAACTTTAACACTTTTACTTTAGTCTTTACGCACCGAGCGCCAGAGTGACCCGACCTAAAAATATAGCGATAAAACTCTTGAAACAGCGAAAAAACACATGGTCTTTACTGCAAAGATGTGCTGCCTAAATATTATAAAAAATGATTAAATGAACAGATGAGTCATTGTTGTCACTTTTAGTTTTGTATTTATTTATTAAACAAGGTTTAATAAAGTCTTTAATAAAGTGTTTGTCGTGATCACGTGGTGCTGCGTGGAGCCTCCTCCTCCCTCTGTCCCGCGTGTCTCGGTCAAACCCACTGATTATCGGCTCATGTTTAAGGAAATCTCATTCACCAGTCACTTTACATGCTCCTGTTATGGTGAGGTGGAGGTGTGGAGAGGGCGCGACGTGACGTAGGTTTACGTGCGCAAATTCTAGTTGCAGGTGGGATTTATAAAGCAAAGATTGCGTGGTTTGGTGCGTGCGGTGGGTTTTGTAAATATGGAGTTTGCGTGGCGCACGCCTTGCTGTAGCTACTAGGCGTACGCACTAACTTACGACAACTCCTGCGCAGTTTTTATAAATGAGGCCCCAGGTCTGTTTGTGATCAGGAAACATTGTAACATAGATCAGAAAAGTGTAATATAGACTCTTTAAGTGTAAAGTGTCCAAAAAGACACAGTATAAATTAAAGGGATTCTTGTTACTATTATGTAAAATGTTGGAGTTGGATGTTTTTAATGATTTTGTGTGGTGTGTGATTTTGTACAGGCATTTATAACCAAACAATCAGACAGTCCTGGAGAGGTTTCACATGATCAGAACAGGAGTCGTCTATTCAAATCAAGTACTTGAGAAATGTTTTTGTTTAAAGTATTTGAAGTGTGAATGTGTCTTTTTGTGTATTTTGGAGTATTTTTGGAGTATCTATGGAGTACTTCTGTTGTATTTGAGACTCACAGATTTGTGGTGAGTGGCAGGTGATGGGAACTGTATCTCCAGAACATCCCCGAGGTTGGACAAGACGCTGCACTCAGGGTTCCTACAAAAAAACACACAAACAGAGAATTCAGAGATACTAGAGAGAGGAGAGGAGGGAGAGAAATGGAGGGACAGGGGGACAGAGGGAGGAGGGGGGAGATGATAGACACATTGAGTGAGTTCATACCACAGGTGCATGTTGGCATTGAGTTTGTTCCTCAGAGGAGTCACCACTGAAAAACACATGACAGTACAGTAACAATATTAACTGATCATTAATTAATAATGACTCATATGATTAATATGCAGATTATTTTAAAGCCAGGGTATTTTACTTGTATAGGGTTCACTAACACATATTTAGAAGGAGAACTGTTGTGTGGGAGAATGGGTGACATAGGCTTGTGGGGGTTTGAACAGGGCCCAGGAGAGATCGCTAGATTACTCAAATATGCATGGATGACATCTAAAACTGTTCAGACAGGTTTGTGATGAGAGAATAATGTTATAACATGGTAGAAAGCTCAGTTAAAAAAAAAAAAAAAAAAAAAGCCTCAGGGTCTAAACACAGTCACCCGTCTCTGTGGGCCGAGCTCAATGGTGCATGACTCTAGAATGTTCTCCACAGGTGCTGAAAACACTCTTGTAAAAATAATAAATGAAAATGCTTTTAACTTTGGCATACAACTGTATTTTGTACAGGTCCACAAGCCCTACTGGCACAGCAAAAATGATCTTGATATCTCTTATCTCATAGTTTTCCCACAATTTCCCTTTTTAGGTTTCGCCACAACACCCTGAAACATGTCAGAAGTCCTGGTCTGTCCTGGTCACAACTAGCCCGACTAGATACTTCTGATGGCTCCCTGTCCAATGAGCATGTGCAGTAGTGCTCTTCTCTCACACAACAACACACCAACACACCAACACACAAGGTCTCGCATATCACATGACCGCTCTGACCAATCAGAGTGAGAGTAGCTGGAGCGGAGCCAGAGCGAACGATTAAAAAGCTGTTTTTAAGACAAGTGAATGATTTAGAGATAAAAAAAAAGTGTATAATCTAAAAAATAAGGTTTAAATTTGTTAAAAATCATCACAAAATCCAACCTTTTTGAAAGCTGTAAGTGTCGTGTCAGCTGAACACGAGCAGTTAGTGATTACAGGACCCTGTCCAGTTATTTGAACAGATTCATGATAATACTCCCAAACACAGTAAAGGTGCACTATGCAACTTTTCTGGTGAGGGTCTGCCACCTACTGGATCTCCATGGAGACAAGCAGGGGGCAGACACTCCACTGAAACAGTTACACAGTGTTTGTAGAGATCTTAAGTGTTTAGACCAGTTATTTAGTTTTCACAGAGAAAATGTTGTTATTTGTGATTTGCTGTGACCACTCACAACTCAAACCTGCACCAGTCCTCCAAACCAGTGTTGTCTCTGTAATTAAATGCATTAATAAAAGAATATTTTCTATGTTTCTGCTGCTGTCTGTTTTCGGCCTCGCATGTTGGTGCATACAGGTTTAAAGTGTCTTGCCCATGAGCACAACAGCATATTTAAATATTGATAGAGCCATTAGAGGCAGCAGACGGTGTTATTTGTGAACTGTACTCCTGCAGGCTCCTGTCTCTCATCACTCACTCTTTCCTATTTTCCCTAAATGCAAAATCCAATATTTTTTCCCCGCGCCCTCTCTGTGTTTGGGGTCTCGTCTCCGTCGCGTTTAATATCTTTCAGAGTGGCGTCGCCGTGGAAACGCGCTCAGAGTCATGTGACCTTGGCGAGCAGAAACAATGGCGTCCGATTGACGAGGGGCAGAGAAGCGGTTTGGAGTGAAGTGACAGAAGACAAAAGCACAATGGAGGAAAACAGACAGGCACAACAGAGCTCAAGAATGTCTCCGATGCAGCTCAGACATGCTGCTGTACTTAAAGAATTAAAGACACAGTGGAACTTTTTAGCCAGAAAATTTTATAAAATGAAATCATGTTTTGTTTGTTTGTTTTTGTTTTTCTGTAATTGTGGTTGTTTTTGCACTGAAAAAATGAAAACTGTGTGTCCTTACTCTGAGACGACTTGCATCTCCACAAACCTGACTCTTATTTGGCCTGGAGGAGAGCTGTTGCTGTTGCTGTTGTTGATGTTGTTGTTCCTTTGACTGTAATATCCACAGTATGGCATAAAATATGTCTCTGGAGAATAAGTTGTTTTTTATTTTGACACATTTTTTTTTATAGAGTAAGAAGCTTTCAGAAATATTCATGTGCATAGAATAGAAATCTATGCATATTTGGGAAATCCATGCATATTTGTCTGTACACTGAGGACATATTTTGACCTCAAGAGCTGCTTTTAGTATATATCTGTACATTTTACTCAAATCCATGGGAACCCATCTGTAAGTTTATTTGATTTTCACCAGTAGATCACAGATGTGAAACCTGGAATATGAAGTAATAAAGCTCTCAGAAATATTCATGCGCACAGGATAGAAATCTGTGCAAATTTGGCTATAGTTGAACATGAAATAAATATTTGTAAACTCTGAAATGAGTCCAGTTGAACATAAATGTGTTATTTTATCCATCAGAATACAAATTGAAAAGTAATGACATCAAGATTTACAATCGCAAATTGAAAATTTACGATTACATTTTCTTCAGTATGAAAATGAATTCAAAGACGCAACTCGACTGTCAAAAATACATCATCACTTCACAGGCATTATTTATTGAGCAGAAGAAACATTGATCGAGTCACAGCTCCACAGTAACTTAAGTTGTACCAGAGAAGGGTAAAAGCGGAGAGAAAAAAACTGAGTAATGGCACAATAAGGAGCTACAACTGCTTAGCAACAGGTGGAATAATTACAGTTTATAGTAAAAATATACTTGTCTTGTCTTGCCACATTGACTCCGGGAACCAAACGCTTCTGTGTAATATTATTTTGAAACGCCTCCTCTGAACAGAAAACCACCTTTATCTTAGTAGATAACATCATCAGACATAACATTATCCCAGGGCTAATTAGCAAAGTGCCATTTCCCGTTCTGAAGGATAAAATACACACAACGTATTTTATGTACTGTATTTTTCGCACTATAGATTGTGCTCTTAAGCCTCCAGTCCCATCAAAAACGACCGCGCGCCCCACAATCCAGAGCGCCTTATACACGAATTCACTCAGGTGTCCCAGCACCACTTCAGTAAACTACAAAGCTGCACCACCTGCAGAACACACAAACACACACAGAGCAGACAGCGACCGCACAGAGACAAACACCCACAGACACACTCATCACTCCACGACGACGAGGAAAGGAACGAAGGAACGAACCGAAAAAGCGAGTGCAATGTGCCACTTCTAGACACAACTGAACAACTGAGTCACTGCGAACACGCCGACAATCCGTTGGTCCCAGACACACCCTCCCTACACACCACAACTGAACAAAGCCCAGAGTCACCGTGAACGAACAAACAAACAAAACCACTCACCCATCACACTGTTCTGTTTCCTTTAATGCACCTTATAGTCCGATGTGGTTTATTTCTGAAAAAAAAGTTCGAAAATAGACCATTCTATGACAATGCACCTTATAATCCAGAGCGCCCTATAGTGCGGAAAATATGAATATTTATTTTATGTTCAACTACAGCCAAATATGCATAGATTTCTCTCCTATGCACATGAATATTTCTGAAAGCTTCTTACTCCATATTAATTCCAGGTTTCACATCTGCTGTGTACTGGTGAAAATCAAACTCACAGATGGTTTCCCGTGGGTTTGAGTAAAATGTACAGATATATACTACAAGCAGCTCTTGGGGTCAAAATAAGTCCAATAAGTTCAATAACCAGGTAGTGCACATTACATGCTAGTTGTTGTTAGGTTTACTATCAGTGCAAACCTTCACTCACTTCACCTTCACTCAATAATTAGGATGTTCAGAATGCAAAAGGCAGGGGTGTCAAACATACGGCCCAGGGGCTGGATTCGGCCCTCCAAGACCTTTAATCTGGCCCACGGCTGATTTTCTACTAAAATATTTTAATAATATTTTCTATTAAAATATTGGTAATTTTCTGTGGTGCTTATCATAGCAGCATCTCTGTACGTGGCCCCTCCCACCAGAGCAGCAGAAATGAAGACTTGTCTCTTTCCAAACGCTCTTAAAGGACGATCGTTTTGACTGTTGACCGTGACACCCTCATCAACAAAATGTCCAAAATGAGAAAAGTTAATGCAGAGTGCAGGATTTTCCAAGAAAAATTGACTTATTCCTATTTTTTTCTTCAAGTTTCAGGTTGTTCATAATATTATAATATTTTGTAAAAGAAAGAGTTCATCAATTAAAAAAGATTTCTGTAATAGATTTGTGTTTCTCTGCACAAATATTTGAACTTATTGTTATTTTTGGGGTTTATATGACATGAGTTTTCTGATCCGTCCCCTTTGGGATCAAAGTAGGTTGGATACGGCCCCCAGACCAAAATGAGTTTGACACTCCTGGCATAAGGTAAGTGAGGAAGAACCTTGGACCACTGCAAACTGTTTACAATGACATAGTTGTGTGTTTGATGTTTTTAAGACAGTAAAAATGAAGTCTTTAAATGATCTCGACTCTTGTTACCCACCATGCTCTGCTCCCAGGAGGCAGCACTCCGGGAGCATCTTGGGATGTCTGGGGTCCACCTCCACATTGATTGATGCATTGTTGCCTAAAAATGCACAAATTTCAGGAAGATTATGAATAAGTCAGATGCCCATCCCCATCCCATCCTCTTATATCCCCGTGTGTCAGATGCCCTCCCACAATCTACCGATGGCGATGCGTCTCATGGTGTCTGATCGACTGGGCTTCTCCGGCTCCAGGACCCACGTCTTTTGGTCGATTTCGTCCAAAACTTCCCAGAATTCTGTGAGGGACTCGAGCAGCTGCAGGAACTGAGCGTGAAGCTGAGCCAAACTCGTCTGGAACAACAAACCCAGAGAAGTGATAAACAAGTGTAACAGCAAGAGCTTAAAATCACGTGACAATTTTGTGCATCCCATTCCCACAAGAAGCTGACAGCACCAGGCCAAGGTACGGGTAAGATCTGTGGACCGGTGACCCAGTTTCCAGTGATACCACAAACATAAAAGTATTTTGTCTTGAACTAAAGCACATTTGTACATCTCACTTCCTCAGTTGCTGGATAATTTCAGAAACACTTTAAATGGCCACTTCTAACAATCCAAATAATTCTGTCTCCTCCTTCATCACTCCTCTCAAGTGTCTCAGATTCAATTACCCACTCTCTTCCTCTCTCTTTCCTCTTTTCTCCTCTTCCCTACCCCTTTTCCTCAGCTCCTGCTCTCCTTTTCTCCTCCTGTTGTTGTCTCCTTCCCTTACTTCACCTCAGCTTTCACATTCATTTGCTATATACCGGTAATTGTTGTTGGTCCTCCTGTCCTCCTTACTCCTCATCCTACTTTCCTCCCCTCCTCTCTGCCTCCTTCTCTTTTTCCTCTCTCCCCCCTCTGTTGTGGTGTCCTCCTCCTCTCTGCCCCTCTTTTGCTCCCCCTAGTCTCCTCCTCTTCGTCTCTGCCCTTTTTTTTAAATTATTATTATTATTATTTTTTAATCTTCATGATTATTTATGCTTTGATTTGTTTTTATTATGATTTTAATGTATTTCTTATTCTGTAAAGCACTTTGAATTACTTTGTGTACGAATTGTGCTATACAAATAAACTTGCCTTGCCCTCTTTTGCTCCTCCTCTTCCTCTCCTCTCCTCCTCTCTGCTCCTCTTTTGCTCCTCCTCTTCTCTGCCCTCTTTTGTTCTTCCTCCTCTCCTTTCCTCCTCGTTGCCCTCTTTTGTTCTTCCTCCTCTCCTTTCCTCCTCTCTGCCCTCTTTTGCTCCTCCTCTCCTCTCCTCCTCTCTGCTCCTCTTTTGTTGCTCCTCTTCCTCTCCCCTCCTCCCCTCTGTTGCTCCTCCTCTTTTGCTCCTCCTCTCTGCCCCTCATTTGCTCCTCCTCCTCCTACTCCTCTCCTCCTTTCTGCTCCTCCTTTTCTCTGCCTTCTTTTGTTCTTCCTCCTCTCCTTTCCTCCTCACTGCCCTCTTTTGCTCCTCCTCTCCTCTCCTCTCCTTCTCTCTGCTCCTCTTCCTCTCCTCTTCCTCGTGACTCCAGTCGTATAATCAGGCGTTCCTCACACCTGTGCGATGCCTAATTGAGTGCACTGTGTTGGCACAATGACCCGTAATTTTTGGTTCATTTTTTCACCTAATTTTTGGTGTTTTTACGTCTTTTCCATCAGATGCTCTTTCTCTCCGCCTCCGAGTGGAGGACACGTGGACCTAAGCACAGGTTTAAGGCTCTATTTACTGAGAGCAGGTGTGCAGGGGGCGGCACTGGAGTACGACAAGTGGACACTAGTGACTTCCATTCTCTTTTAAACGTGATTTTGGTCGCCTTGGGATTTGTATTTCACATTTTCTAATTTAAAAGTATATTTGGAAATTTGGAAAATATTAGGGATGTAACAATAACTGAAATATTGTGATGCTGTATCGTCAAAAGTCTCACAATAACATCATGGGCTGTCACAATATGCCGAATCACAAGTTCCTTTGTTTAAATTCTTGATTTTATAGTAGCAACAGCTTATAAACACAGGGAACTACATATCCCATGATTAATTTCAGTGCAAACAACACAAAGAAATGTGTTTTTACTTGAATTCTTGGGATTATGACAGAAATAATTCACAACAAAATCTTGTCAGATTATTTGAAAAGCAGAAACGTGTCCTATCTACAATTACATTAGTCTCTCTAAAATATCCTGACGATATCGCGCCAAGAGATTTGGATATTGTTACATCCCTGAAAAATATACTTCTACACCTGCATTTCCAATGAGTTATATAGGCACAGGAGCGCCCTCTGCTGTCAGCTACTGTGAACAGTCAAAGTAAAAAGCTGTTCATTAAACAAAGTTGGTTTACAGACTTAAAAACTGCACAGGAGGAATTTGGATTTATTCCTTTAAAGCAACAATCCCAGGGCATCCCCAGATCTGACTACCCCAAATTTAAGACTTTTTAAAGACCTTTTTAAGATCACTTAACATGAAAATTAAGACCAACATTGCACCCATTATAAAGGCAAAAAACACCAGATCCAGTATTAATAATGACAAACCAACTACAGTAACACATCTAGAATCTAAGAGTCACTGTGGATTAAACCAAAACTCCAACTTAGACGTTCATTCACGTTACATGATTTCACGTTGTTGTTTTTTTTCCTCTCTCCGTTTAACATCACACTGCAGCCCGGCTGAGTATACAAAAAAATCGGCTAATGAAATTTAAGACCTTTGTGAAATAAATAAGACTTGGACAACATAATTTAAGACTTTTTAAGGCCTCAATTTAGAAACATGAAATTTAAGACCTTTTTAAGACTTTTAGGTCCCCACAGCTGCTCTGAATCCAGGCAAACCGTAAAGGGGGCATTCTGATCATGTTATTTATTTATCTTATTTAACTTTTCAGTGGAATTTCAGAGATGTGGTCTGAATCCTCATTCACTGATGTGGGGTAAACCAGCACAGTGCACTAGAGGTGGGAGATATATCAGAACATTAATAATAATGCTGTGGAGATCTTGTGAATTAGAATTTCAAGTAATTTATATTTTTAAAAAGTTGTTAAAATCTTTATATATTGTTCTCAAAAGAATGAAAAGAGTTCAGTCATTCATTAGCTCCAGTAAATGGTATATTCCCCGGGCTCGGCACAGCTGTGAGCCCATCACCAGCCCCATCACAGACTCACTATTACTGACACAGTGTGTGACCTTGGCGGCCCGAGCAGCTCATGTGTTTAAATAAACAGAGTTATAAAGTGCAATGGGACACGTTTAAATCCACTGTCATTAACCTCCAGTGTCCTCCAGGAGCACTTTAAGGATATAATAGTCCCTCTGTCGCTAATGTAAGACCTGCCACACGTCCAAACAACGACAAAACCAGGACTAAACCGAGACCACAGCAACACTCCTCTTTCACTCCTCCTTTCTCTCCCCTTTCTCTCCTCTTTCTCTCCTCTTTCTCTCCTCTTCCTCTCCTCTTTCTCTCCTCTTCCTCTCCTCTTCCTCTCCTCTTTCTCTTCTCATCATCTCCCTCTAAACCAGGACTATAGCAATACAAAATCTGGAGTTAAAGCGAGATTAAGACTAAAACTGAAGCATTGGTCAAATTTGGTAGCCTGATTCATCAGCTGGTTTCACTTCGCAGAAACCGTCTGACCTTGCAGTGTTAGGGTTCATTTGCTCGACAGTAGGCAGGTACTTTTTATCATTTAGTCAATCGCTGATATTTGTTCGTGACGTATGTAATGCGCCGCTAACAGTGTTGGGGAGTAACAGATTACATGTACCGGAGTTACGTAATCAGAGTACAAATTATGAGTAACTGTATTCAGTTACAGTTACTGTTTCAATGAGTGGTAATTGGATTACAGTTACAGTGTTGAAATAATTGGATTACACGGTGGTATGTTCCTGTCTTCACATTTTGGGCTAAACCAGGACTAAAACCAGGACTAAACCATATGACACTAACAGTAGGTTGACATAATTTAAAGCAGCATTGATCTCATATAAAAATCATTTCTCTATCAATAATATTTTTAATCTGGTTAAGTACAATATCAACACACCAGTGAAACTGTACAGAAAACTCACACAACTACTCGTCCACCCAAAAGACCAAATAGAACCGGAGCATAAATGTAATGTCTCATACAAAATACCCTGCATGTCCTGCAATAAAACATACATCGGGGAAACAGAGAGGGCATTCAGTACACGAAAAAAGGAACATAGAACAGAATGCGAGAAGAAAACAGCGAAGGCGTGCACATGAGCAACAAAACACAAAGCAGAACAGGAACAACTCAAATCGGCCATTTCTGACCACTGTAAAAGAGAGAACCACATTCTGGACTGGGACGGAGCAAACATAATTGGGACAGAGGAAAACAAACATCGCCGCTGGATTAAAGAAGCAATCGAAATACAGAAACGTGCCCACAGGACGATGAACCGGGACGAGGGGGCTTCTTTACTCTCACACACCTGGGATACTGTCCTGAGGAAGTCGGAAGATGGAGTTGTCGTGCTGCCTCCACCGGTAGAAAGACAGCGACAAAACTTGTTTAAATCAGCTGACCAGACACGTCACAGCAACATCACCTGACCACTCTGAGGAAGAGCGCTAGTGAGCAGTCGAAACTGTCAGGTAAGAAACAAAAGTCTAGGTCTGCAAAATGAACCTAATAACAAAGTATCGGAAGACCAAATGAATCTCATTGGACTATCTTTGTCTTTGCTTGTCTACAGTAAACAAAAGTCTGTTCATGGAGACTTGGGCTCAACAGACAATTTGAAGAGAACAAACAAGAATTTTAAGGATGTGGTTGTTACATTCATGTAGTTTTAAAAAGCATGACAATATCAAGTAATCCAAAGTATTCAGATTACGTTACTCACCTTAAGTAACCTAATGGATTATGTTACAAACTACATTTTGGTGTATGTATCTGTAATCTGTAGGGGAATACATTTTAAAAGTAACCTTCCCAACACTAACCGCTAACGGGGTTAACTGGTATATTAAGCTTTTCCCAAATCCCGTAGGAAGAAGGACAATAACGTCTTTCCCCTTGATGAAATTCACCAAACATTCTCTTTATTCTGGCTTTAAATCCTTGATCTCGAGAATCGTTGACAACACAGAATATATGTCTCTTCGCTGATTGGCTGGTGCCCGAACTTGCACTTCCGAGGTTTTTGCGAACCGTCTAGTGTATTCTGATTCCTGACCTAGCCACTGGAGAGAAATTAAATTGAGCGGAGGCACAAGGTGGCACCAGCCTGGCTACAAATTTGGAGCATTCTATCGTAAATTATATAATCAAATT